TCTTTGTGAACCACACGTGTCACGAGAGTTTCTCTGTCGAACGGGGCAAACCTCACACTTATCTCCTATCAGGCTCTTGGTATCAGCATAAAACCAAAAATTATTCTTTCCCACGCACAATTCTCATGGAGCATCTTTTGCCAGATTCATTGCAAAGAAAAGGATAGGGTTACAAGAATTCCGGCAATGAAACTATTTCCCATTCTAAAACCAATATGCATCCCAAGGACATTAGGGTAGAACCTTATAGCCATGCCATGCACTGGTGAACTACCAGGACTTTTCACTGCTAAAAAAGCTGCTTGCAATGGTTGGGTACATAACCATCTCCTAAATTTGTATCAGTCTGGAGACAACCCATTAACCCCCCCCACACGCCCAGATGCCCATGAGAGGAATAGAAGATGCTGGGGAAACATAACTGGGAGGAGGGATCTTTTCCTAAATCTATCATTTCTAATGTCAGCCTTGAGAAATGCATAATCATCGGTCTGCGTGCCACTTTCTAGGCGTATGAGTTCCCTCCTCCCTGACTTGAACAGCATTCACTGAGTGCCAAATAACTTTCCAAGTGGAGCTCAGTAGGCACAGAAATGGGGCGGGGTGGGATGGGGGGAGGAATCTGCTAATTGTGCTGCTTCTGGAATAGATGACGGTATAACGATGCTCTCATCAGAAAGCTGAGACTGCATTTGCATATAGATAAAGAACTTGTGATTCTTGCTTTAAAGAGACAGGCCTGAAAGAGATGAACGGAGGCTCCCGCTGTCTACAATCAAGCAGGATTTTGATAGGATATTCAGGCAGGGATGCCGAGGTCGGACGTACCCAATTAATCCACACACTCAAGTCTGTCAATTGGCTAATTCAGTCCCAGGCTGAATTGACACTGTAAGGGACGTCACCGCGTGACACCCCTTGCGGTAGGATGGTCTTGGGAACTGTCATTTCTTGCAGCTGTATCTTCCTTTTTCTCAGTCCAATTTCTCCCAGGCACCCCCCTCCCCTTGCTTCCATTCTGCGCTACTGAATCTCCTTCAAACCTCCTCCCTAAAAGCTTTTAGAATTACAGGATGAAAATAGCAGGGAAGCCGGATGCAGAGAAACATTCGGAAAAGCTTACTCACCGCGTGAGTTCTTTAACAGTCTTCGTTGGGCTCTTCTCAGTGGTGGTGGGCTCTTCTCTCCTGCAGTTGTTTAAGCAGAGGAGTGAGAATTGTCTCCTGTATTCTCAGCTGCAACCCCCCAGAGGACCACTGCAGGGCAGGGAAGAGATGCAGGAGGCAAACTCTTTACCACCATCTCATGGTCATGGAGGTTTTTGCTGTCCAGATCCACTAGCCATTCCCTTCTTGCTTGATCCAATCTGGCTGGCAGTTCCTAAACAGGAGGCTGAGATTATGACCTGAATATTTCAGCTTGAAGCAAGAAAGGGTCCAGGACTGCCCAAAGTGCAGGGCCTCCCCCACCTAGCATTGTGGAAGCGAGCTGAGCCGTTCGCTCTTACTGAGCCTAAAATGAAACTCGCTGCCTCGGACATCTGGAGCATCATCAGATTCAACTCACGCCTTTGCAATTGGGCTCTTCTGCATGGCCAGCTGAGCTGCTTGTCTGTGTATAATCCCGTTCCAGATTTCAACCCCTGCCTGCACTTCATCCTCCACCATGATGGCCTGATGGTCTGTCCAGACGATGCTTGACAGATCCCCCAACTGCTGGATTCCCCTGCTGCATTATCCTGCCCTCCTGGGTCAGGAAAACAAATACCAAGGGCCTGGACATTCTTTGAAGGAATGGATCTGTTTTAAAGAAAGTGTTTTCCAGTTCTTCATCTAGAAGAGAAATTGGCAGAAGTCTTGTCAATTTCATATTTTTTATAAAATAAAAATATTGTTTTTAAAAAAACAAAACAAAAAAGGAGAAGTAGGTTATTTCCCTGCTCCCCTGTTGCATTAGTGGAAGGGG